GTTCATAAAAATAGTTTGTTCTTTAAGACTGCAGTTCTCTCCTGTACTGAAAGCCCATAATAAGCTCTGTGTACTGCCTAATTCTTGGTCCCTTTAGCAAGTGACTTCCATTTGTACTTGAGGTCAGTATTCCTAACTGAGCACAGAATTTTTCTATTCCACTGTCAGGAGGCCAGACAGATATTTTGTTTTGCCCATACTTCCCTACTCCACTTCTGACAGTAGTGGATTTGAAGATGGCATTATGCCAGCATAATTAGCATGAAAGCTTTAACACTTCCACTTACTTGGTTCTTAATCTAACATTTTTGCTGCTTTTTTCTAGGCTTGATCTGCTGACTGACCTTTCAGAAAATCTGAGCAAAATATTGAGAGGCTTCTGAAGCACGGAGAGTTGGCAAGGGAGGCCATTCAAAAAGTGCCTTTTCTTTAAAAAATCTTGAGCTATGCTATCAATGGAACTTGAAAACTGAAATGTAGTACAGAAAACTCTTACTGGAGAAAAATTCTATCATGATTTGATCAGCAAATACTTGGAACTGGATAAAGATCCTAGAGAACTTAAATGAGAAAGTAGTGTCCTCTACTTAGGGAAACCCCCTCAGAACAGTTTTAAAAGGCTAAACACACTAGAGTTTGTTTCTAGAGAAACTTGGATACATCTACGTGGGGAAGGTAAAAACTTTTTGTGAAGAAATTCAGAGGTTCCTTCTTCACTCCAGCTGAACATTTTGTAATGCTAAGTAAAGGTTACTAGTAGATGAGGAAATAGCTAAGCACTATTCAGAGTGAAAGACATCTGCTATTTTTATAACTCATCTAAAATTTTTAGTTAATATTTAATGATCTTGATGTGCCACAGCTCTCAGACGTATGCACATTGATTACATCAACAGTATGTTACAATTACATTAAACAACTGTGTAAGTTTATACTCTATTTTTCACACACAGCACAATAAACTTCCTTCCCAGGAGAAGTGCCAGCTCTTGAGGTATAAGAATTCATGGCTATAATGGATGAAAACAAAACAAAGGTGATACAAAGAAATGGATTTGAAGAACAGCTGGAACGGATGTTGTTAAGAGAGCCATGAATGGGCAGAGGTGCCACAAGCAGACAAATGCAGGCCTGGGGGCCTGTGGAGAAATGAAAGGGGAGATGTGGGCAAGATAAGGTTATGTAGGGATTTAATGTAAAGATATTAATCGAGAATTCACCAAGATATACAGCAAGGTGAATGTTATCCCTTTAGGTTTTGCTGGAGAACGCTGGGAGAAGCTAGGAGAAGAGAGAAAGAGAAAGTTAGAGTTGGCTAAGGCTGAAAGCTGCTGTGTTCATCTGGTTTTCATGTGCTCAGTGAGCTTATCGGTCACCTGACTCCCCAGGCAAACAGGCTGCAGGCACTTGAGGAAGAGCAAAATAATACATGGCCTGGCCAAAGCTAGGGACTGACAGGAACTTTCTACCAGACAGCAGACTTACAGAGTAAAAAGAATAAAGGAAGATTAGCCCTGTAAGACCCTTAGATTCGAGGCAAGAGCCCCTGGAAAGAAACTGAAATTAAATGTTCAGTATAAATGATCCTGGCCCTAAACCCTCTGTGATTAAAAATATTTTTAATCAGCAGATACAAAAAGAAATATATTCTAGATTTCTATCAATTTTTTAAAAGCATATATTCTCGTAAAAGTATTATTGAACCAATTATTTTTTTTAAAAAAGAAAGAAAAGCTATAGTTGGATCACATATGAAAATCAAGGAAAAAAAAATCCTTTGTTACTGCAAGCCTGAATGTAAACAATGTAGGTGGAGAAGTTGCTCAATTGCTACAGCATCAAGGTCATCAGAAAAGCACTTGCAACAGTGACTGGAACTAATGAGAACTGGGGCAGCAACCTTCTCTGTGGCGTCTTAGAAAATCTGTGCTTCTCACCTGGGGTGAATTCAGTTACACCATCATGTGTGTGACATTGCAAAAAAAATGGATCATGCTTCCAAGTGTCTACTTAAAATTCACATTTTGCTACCTTTCAGCAAGTTTAAATAGCTTGGTATGTTCAGTCTTCTAATTTAATTTAAATTTCTATTTGAAAAGCACCAAAAATCAGTGAAAAATTAAGAAGCAATAAGTTTCATATTATCTTACTTAAACTTGACTGTTATTTTTCTCTTTAATGTAAAGTCACTGCCTACCTATGCAATGGCTTGCACATTTCCTGAGCCACTGTATCAGACTTCCTGAAAATACACTGGCTTGGAGGTTCTGTAATCCAATGATCTTGATTAGAACTATTTCCTGGCTGCACAAACAGTAGAAGCTGTCAGACTCTGAACACACGTAATAGTTATAGTGTTTTAAACTTTAAGGTTGGGTTTGCAAACAATATACATGTTTTACCACTATTTTCACTTCCTTTTATCTTTACAGTAGAAGCCAAAACCCCCTTACAGCCCGAGTTCTGTATAACTCGTACTTTTCCATATTTGTGTATCACTGTTAATATCCCAAGCGTCCTTCTAGCACCCCATCCTCCCGTAGTCTGAACAATCTTGATGGGCTGTAACAAGCTAAAGTTCCGCTGAAGATCACATAACTATAGAAAGCTGTTGTCTGGAAGGCACCTCAAGAGGTTTCTAATCCAACTTCCTCAAAGCAGGTCCAGCTTCAAGGTTAGGCCAGATTGCTCAGGACTGAGATTCCACAACCTGTTTGGATGGCCTCCTCCGGTGCATAGCTACTTTTGTGACAATATTTTTTTCCTATACAAACAGAATTTCCGTTGTTGAAACTTGTGACCTTTACATCTTGTCATTTCTCTGTGTACTTCTATCTGCGTCCTGCCTGTAACTCTGTTTAGACTGTGGAAGACAGCAGTTAGTTCACTCCACACCCTCACAGCCTTCTCTTTCCCAAGCTATGAAAGCCCTCTGCACTCAGTTTCTCCACATTCATCATGAGCTTCAATTCCCTAACAAATTTTGTTGCCCTTCATTGGTCTTGCTACAGTTTGCTGATTTCTCTCTTGTACTGGGGGTCCCAAAACTGGACACAGTATTTCAGATGTGTTCTCTCATATGCTGCTCAAAGGGAAATAATCACTTCCCTTTGACTGCTGGGTATGCTCTTCCTAACACAGCCCTCTGTGTAGTTGGCCTTCACTGCTACACGGGTGCACTGCTGACTTGTACAACTTTCGCACCAGCACCCTCAGGTCCTTCTCTGCAAAATTGCTGCCTCCTCAACCAGTCCCCACCTGCACTGATGTGTGGGGTTATTTCTTCCGAGGTGCAGGGCTTTGTATTTCTCTGTGTGAAACTCTGTGAAGTTCCTGGTGACCTTTTGCTTGTCAAGATCCCTCTGAGTAGCAGCCCTGCTACTGTAATGATCACTCTGCCAATTTGCTGTCATGCATGAACCTGCTGAGGTGCTCAGGATGCATTCCATGCCATTATCCAACTCTGATGAAGATGCACCGGACTTGGTATTAATCTCTGGGGACCCCTGCCATTACTGACCTGTTCCCAGTTAGACTTCAGTCCACAGGCAACTACTTTGAGCACGATGGTAACAGCCAGTTTTTTACCCATCTTATTGTCCACTCATCTGGCTCATACCTCCCTGCTTTGGCTACTGGAATCCCATGGGAAACCTTGTCAAAAGCTTTCCTGAAGTCAAGATATATAATATCTGCTGCTCTCTCTTATCCATAGAGCTAGTCATTTCCTCACAGAAGACAATCAGGTTCATCAGGCACAATATGGCCTTGGTAAATCCAGGCTGGCTGTTGTCACTTTCTTGTTTTTCATATACCCTGGAATTGCCTCCAGGAGGTCTAGTTCCATAATCCTTTCAGGGACAGAGGTGAGATGATACTTCCCCAGATCATGCTTATGTTATTGCAGATGGGCATAACATTTGTGTATTTCTTGTCACTGAGAAGCTTTCCTGATCGCTACAGTCTTTCAAAGATGATAGACATCTGCCCTGCAGTGGTGTAATTCAGCTGCCTCAATATACCTGCATGCACTTTGTCCAGTCTCAGGTATTTCTTTATGTCCAGGTTACTAAGGATTCCCTAACTTGATCCTTCACTACTCTTCTGTGCCACTCTCCCCAAACTCTACTGAGCTTGAAGATGTAGCAGAGAGCAGACCTTGTCAGAAAAGCCTGAAGCAAAGTAGGCCTCAAGTACCTCAGACTTTTCAATGTCCTTTGTCACTAGGTCATCAACTCTGTTTAGCAGTGGACAGCACTTTCCTTGGTTTCCTTTTACTGATAACATGCCTAGAGAAGTCTTCCTTGCTGCCCTTCTCACCTCTTGTGAGTTTCAGCTCTGGTTATCCTAATGTCACCCCTCCATGCTCAGGGGATGCTTCTGTATTCTTCCCTGGGTAGCCCATCCCTCCTTCCACACTTCCTTTTTGCAACTGAGCAATGTCAGGAGTTCCCTGGTTCAGCCAAACTGGCCTCCTCATTCCCTGAACAACCTGACATCTCCCCTTCTGAAGCCCTGAAACTCCTTCTTCACTTACCTCAAGACTGTAAAATACCACTGGTGATACACATAGATTTTGTTTTATTATTTTCAATAAATAAAATATTTTCTAAAAATAAAGCATATTATGATAGTCCCCTTATATTTGCTATTAGTTTTATAAGAATTATTCTTGTAAGAACCCCAAAGTTAACAAAAAGAAAAAACCAGTAACATGTATCAGAACAAATGCCTTTGAATCATTTCTTGAACTTAACTTGAGTTAAGCAGCAGGCTTTTCCCAATCCTTTTGGAGCACTGAGAATACTGTAAGAGCTATGTTACTCACTGAGACACTGCATGATTACAAATTAGGTCACGGTGATCAGCTGGGATCATATGATACCCAGTTATACTAACTGTACATTTAAGAAAACTGTATTTATAACTGTAATACATTTCAGCTTTCTTTAACCAACTTTACAAGCCAGAAACAAAAGAAAGCCAGCAGTATGTGTCTAACTCTCTTTCTGCAAATATCAGTGATACTGAGAGCTTAGGGAACAAAAGCTCAAGTTAAGCATATTTCATAACAATAAAAGAAATGCATTTGTATATGTGGAACATTCATTGCCACCAGTACACAAGAAATGTTGATAATTTGTAATTATCTTCACCATTACACTAATTTACACCCCAAATTAATGAAAGTTAGTTTAAAATAATTCTGAGGACATGACAAGATATTAATCAAACCTGGTTTTGCAGCTTGTCTTCATAGGTCTGTTCGCAAATGTTGCCTATTAGGTTTGTGTTGACATTTTCTTCTGAAAATTGCATGCAGTTAGAGGACCAAAAAACAGAAGAGGACAATGGACAGGCACTAACAGCTCTTGCTGTGCTGTCTTCATGTTCCATACTAGAGTCAGCATCTGTTAATTCTGTTACTTGTGATAACTAGACAAAACACAGCAAAGAGACACTTTATTTATCTAAAAACTGATTTGATGTAAGCATAAAGTTCAAAGTAATCAAACCTTCCTATATCTTTTACATCTCTGCACATATGCCACATGAAAGAGAAAATTTTCAGGGATTCTGATATGTTTTTTTTCATGAAAAACATAAGGTAATAATTTCTTATTTCAGGGAAACACATAAGAACCTACTTAGGTTGAAGCAGAAGCATACACACAAATGTTATCCTGAGGAGAGATGGGTAGAAATAAATTTTTAACTTTAGACGTGTAGGTAAATTATCTGCTGACTTGGTTCTTAAGTGGTAAAATTAAAAGATTTTACTCCATTGAGGAGAGCTCCAACATGGTGTGATACCAACAATTCTGTCTCAAGCAGATCAGGACACAAGGAGAAATCTGAAGGCAAAACTCATGAAATGTCGCTGTATCCACAGCTATATGGAAGTAATGCCTGTAATCCAGCTTATCCAGTGAAAGCAGCACAAACTACTAATGAAGTGCAAAATCCCCATGCATTAATTGCACAAAATATTTCTACCACAAAATTGTACACTTCCAGAAAGCTGAAAATTATGAATTTTATAGTGCCTCTTTCTTCTTAATAAAGTATATATATCTTCATTACTTAAATTGGATATACTTCAATTTATGAAGATTTTAAAACCAGTTATTTCCAACATACAGGCCACAGACTTTATTTTTTGATCCATATATTAAATTAGCTTTCTGTGTGTGCACACTGCATTACCATGTGTTTTGATGAACTGATGTAAATCTATCCATACAAGTGGAGATTGAGGAGAAATTTAGCTATCATTTTGATCTGTTACTTCTAGTCACGCTAAATCTGAAACATGTCCTCTCTGTCTTCAAGAAACAGATGAAAAAGAGTCATAAGGGTCCTGCACCTGGGGAGGAATAACCCCAGGCACCAGTACAGGTTGGGGGTTGACCTGCTGGGTTGGGAAAGCAGCCCTGCAGAGAAGGACCTGGAAGTACTGATGGGATGACCAGTTGACCCTGAGCCAACAATGTGCCCTTGTGGCCAAGAAGGCAAATGGTCTCCTGGGGTGCATTAAGAAGAGTGTGGCCACCAGGTCAAGGGAGGTTCTCCTCCCCCTCTACTCTGCTCTGGTGAGGCTGCATCTGGAATATTGTGTCCAGTTATGGGCCCCACAGTTCAAGAGAGATAGGGAACTTCTGGAGAGAGAGCAGTGGAGGGCTACTAAGATGATTAAGGGGCTGGAGCATCTTATGAGGAAAGACTGAGAGAGCTGGGTCTGTTTAGCCTAGAGAAGAGAAGACCAAGGGGTGACCTTATCAATGTTTATAAATATCTAAAGGTTGGGTGTCAAGATGGGGCCAGACTCTTTTCAGTGGTGGCCAGTGATAGGACAAGGGGCAATGGGCACAAGCTGGAACACAGGAGGTTCGGCTTAAACATGAGGAAGAACTTCTTTACTGTGAGGGTGACAGAGCACTGGAACAGGCTGCCCAGAGAGGCTGTGGAGTCTCCTTCTCTGGAGATGTTCAGAACCTGCCTGGATGCAGTTCTGTGCAACTTGCTCTAGGTGAACCTGCTATGGCAGGGGGGGTGGACTAGATGATCTCCAGAGATCCCTTCCAACTCCTACTGTTCTGTGATTCTGTGATAAGGGAAGGCTGACTTAATGTGATATCCAAAAAAGTAGTGGCAGCTCTTGCTGCTCTTCGCTGAAACACATCAGACAGATAAACTTTTCACCCATACTAAGTAATTATTCCTGACTCAAAAGAAAATAAATTCTAACACTAGAAAAACATCTGTCTTTCTCACTCTAGTTTTAGCAACATGAATGGGCCAAGAAGATATGGAACAATACTCTGCAAACATCTTTTGCAAGCATCTTTTCCTCAGAGTCCTATCTGATATGAATAGCAGGAGTCAGTGGAGCTGTACTGTCAAGCAAGTCTAAGTAACCTAAACTAAGTGTTTTCTTACAGATTTATCAATTTGTTGGGGGTTTTTTGTTTGGTTGGTTGGTTGGTTTTTTACACAACAATGCAATGGATCACAAAAAAAAGCCTAAACTCCATCATCCATGGAAAAACATCCATGAATGTTTTTCACTGTAACCTCAATAAGTGTATGAACTTCCCAGTTGTATCCACTGAGACTTGTACTTACATTCCTCTTAAAAGACTCTCTTCTGTCTATGCTTCTCACATTTCATCATTTCCCATTTTTGCATATCGTTTTTAATGTACCTGCTGTTGGCCTCAGTCTGTTTCTCATAATCGCTGTCCTTTGTGACTAGCTTAGAGCACAGATATTCTTAAGTATTTTGGAAAATGCCTGAAACAAGGGGAGCCTTTCAAGAAATACATAAGAAATAGCAGGAACAAAAATAAAATACAACTGGTAAATAACGTATCAGTATAGCCTTAAAGAGGAAGACTTCAGATGTTTCAGTATCCATGAGATTGGGTCACTCTGAAAAATCACTTGAAAATACAGTCATTGCTGCACATTTTTAGCTTTACATCAGTGAGAAGAATAAACTTACTTACATTATACTGGTATTTTACTTTCTGTGAGAGATGCTGCCTTCTGCTGTCCAATACTTGCTTTTGTAACCTTGTAAAATGAATAAAAACAGCCTATGAAATACAAGGCATGAGATCTATAAGATTAAAAACATTCTGAGTATTAATTTAAAAATAATTTAAGAATATTTTTCCACACATCTTAAAAATGTCTGATTTTTAAGCAGTTATGAGCAGTCAGTTTGTGTCAGTCACTTTAGGGTAACTTTAGGGTCTGAACAGTGTAAGTGGAAAATGGTGTTTGAACAGCCTGCTTTGTGAGATAAACTTAGTGTATGTACCTGACACGAGTAAAAAACACATTATTTTTTAAAAAGTCTCTCAGCTTCATGTACAGCTTTATATTTAGAATATATTTATTTACTCTCTCATAGTAAGAGTATCACTGGAACACCAGGAGTGATTGTGAAACTTCATCATCTTAGAATGGTATATTTATGTTTACTTAATACTCCAAACAGAAGAGCATCATGAAATACCTTTTCCAGAACCTCATTACAGCTTAACTACTGCCTATTTTATACAAGTACCTATTCTGGATGTCATCCAAGTTTGATGTATGTTGTGTGCGTAGTGGTGACTTAGGAAGCTCTATGTTGTGCCTCCTAATGGGTATTTTTACATCTTCAGTGATATCAATGTGGACTGGCTTCCTCACGTTCTCTGCAATGAAAGTATTTGGAATGTCAGTGCTGGCCTTGGAGCAAATTTTGAGCTTCCTGAATTTTCATCAGAGTACAAAAGCTGCTGTTTTAGGTTTCTTAATCCGTTTAAAGCCACATTTTTTGCTTTCTTTGTTACTAGCAATGCAAGAGCTCTATTCTAAATGGTATTATAGTATAAAATTATTTACGGTCAGCTACTGTATGTAGACAGGTTCTGTTGCCCTCCTCAGTCACCTTCTAATCTTCGGAGCATAGGACAACAAATTCTCCACAATCTGGTTTATGAATATGTCACAGAGGATAAGAATTAGGACTCAAGCTGTAGAAAGGGTTTTTAGGAGCTTAATGATGGATTTTAAGAAAGATACAACAGACAGAACTGACAGACTATTCCAAATGCCCCCCAAAAGTTATGAAAAAGGAAGCAGAATACAAATGGACCCATTCGATGCCAAAGGGAAAAAGAAATGGATGTAGAGTAAAATAAATGAATGGAATGAGGAAGGTGCATAAGTGTACAAGGCTTTAAAGGTGAAGTAGGCAGTAGCCAAGGTTACTTGATTCCTCTTATGTCCTGACTTTCTATTCAATTTTTGTCTTTACTGATAATTTTTTAGCATCAAGTTATAAGTGTAAGAACAAGAACTAAAATAACAGCAGTAATAGCTAAGGATAACTGATGCTGTTAACTGTGAAGTCAGAACACGATTACACTAAACTCACCAGTGTTGTCTTTTTTGGTTGATATCTGGTTAACAACATACAGATTGAGGAGATCTAAACTGACTGCTGAACTTTTAGGAGATGATACTCCCAGAAGCTTCATCTTTGATTTAAGTTTCTTCTTTTCAAAGTATTCCTAAATTTTTTAAAAGAGAGAATAAGTTTTTGACAGAACCTTCAACACCACCTTAGCAGCATATTTGAAACTAGGAAGCAAGACTGAGTAAAAAACTCCTAATAATAAAAGCACATTATTAAGTCTCTCTGAATTCTCACACCCTGTCTACTGTTACTTACTTTACTTTTAGTGCCTTGAAAAAGACTGCAAGTATAATTTGGTCATATTCAAAATAAATCATTGTTCTCTTGATGCCAAAAACTTAGTCCTTAAACACTCATGCCTCAAATGTGGTGTATGATCATTAAAAATATTTCTTTAAAATAAAAGACATAACAAAACACAGCAAGGAGAAAAGTCTTAAAAAAGTAAACTTGGGCTTTTTAGGCAGCTTATAAGCAAATAAATCAGCAAGATTACATACACACAGCCATCTATCATGGCACAAAGAGTTCACTGTTCTCCAAATTTGTCTTTCTTGACATAGAGAAGTCTTGTGACAAAAAAAAAAAAAAAAAAAAAAAAAGAGCAAAAAGTAAAGAAGAAAAATCTCTAAGACTGGGATTTGGAAAGGCTTTTTGTTGCAAGGGACAAGAAGAGATACGACTGGCACTTTGAATATATCAGGCAGCCAATTCTGGAAAACTGAGGAAACAAAAATCTCCATTTTGAAGGAAATATTAATCACAGAATCACAGAATGGTTGAGGTT